GATGTGTCCAAGCCAAAAAAGGGCGACTATGTGTTTATCTCGGCAGCATCAGGCGCCGTCGGACAACTTGTCGGGCAGCTTGCCAAGATCACAGGTTGCTATGTAGTTGGCAGTGCCGGTTCTGATGAGAAGGTATGTACATGCTCTTTTTCTCTTCTCCTCCGGCCGTGCCTTCCCCAAACGATGGATGGTTTTGTTCATACTGATTTTGCGTCACTGCCTTTAGCAATTTCACTGATCCCCCAAATATCAATGTCTTTCATAACATAAGTAATACACCATTTCTCATGGGATTAATTTGCCTTCTCTTCAGGTCAACCTCCTGAAAACAAAGTTTGGATTTGATGATGCCTTCAACTACAAGACGGAACAGGACCTCAACGCCGCACTAAAGAGGTTAATTGCAAGCCCCTTTCGGTGCTATACCACTGAACACTTTGGGCCGATTAACCAAGAGTAATTGGTGTCATGATGCTTTGCTCTATCAGGTGCTTCCCGGAGGGCATTGACATCTACTTCGACAATGTGGGTGGTGCGATATTAGACGCTGCGCTACTCAACATGAGGCTGCACAGGGAGGGTGGCCATGTGCGGGTTGATTTCGCAGTACAACCTGGTGCTGCATGAGGGCGTGCGCAACCTTGCCTGCGTCGTTACCAAGCGCGTCCGCATAGAGGGGTTCATCGTGACGGAGTACTTCGGCACCTACCGCAAGTTCGAAGAGGAGATGGTGAGTCACCTCAAGGAAGGGAACATTACCTACGTGGAGGACGTCGCCGAGGGGATCGAGAAGGTACCGGCAGTGCTCATCGGGATCTTCTACGGGCGCAACATCGGAAAGCAGCTTGTGGCTGTTGCACGGGATTGACATGACATTCCAGGGGCCCAGCAAGCATCAACAAGTACCGATCTGCGTTCCGGGATCAAAATTCAGATAGGTTCCTAGTTTGGTTTGCTGGATCCAGAACACCTTGTGCTAGTGTTTAGTCGAAGTTGGAGAAAATTGGGTGCTACTTTGGTGAAGCATAGATTTTCCATGCTACATAATAAGTGGAACCGTTGCACACTCTGACCCCCGGGCGCACTTCAAGATATATGTTCATCTACCTGTCTGCAGAACTACTCTAAACTTCAAGGAACTTTTCTCATCGAGAGATTTAAGATCATAAAGGAACCCATTGACCAGGGCACACGGTTACTTAAATGTGCACAGTATTTATATTGCAACCTGAATGGTTTCGCTTCTACAAGCTGCAGCTTCGTCAGGTTGCGTGCTGCAAAACTTTGGTTTACAATAAATTCTCTAGATGATTGTAGTACAACGTACTGTACTTCATCACTCCAATTTCCAAGGCCCCCTCATATACAACTCAACATGTCATCATAAAAGATGGAGAGTTCTGCCGAGGATTTTTCCGTCAATCCTAATACTGGTACTCGAGGGTCTAGAATACAGAAAATAGGGGACGCATGATATAGCTAGGTTTAGCCCTCCAAGATAGATAAAAGCACAACTTTTCTGCCTTGCTTCTTCTTATAGAAGAATATAGAGGATTGCAATGTCAAGGGGTACTCGTCTAGTCAAGGAGACTCGGTGAGTTCTAATGACGATGGTGGGGATTTCGATGGGTAGCATAAAAAATCTTCTATGTGGTGTAGGCTAATCTGCGAAAGGAGTGTCTACGGTGCCTCTGGTTCCTCTTATACAGCTATGTTATGGAATACTCCATGTTGGTGCATGAAGGCATATATGAATAGGAGCCGGTCGTAGTGTTGTTTCACAAACATTGTAGAGTGTTCGTGCTTCTCCTCGGGTGTGGGGGCATTGGAGTGGTAATGAGGGCCGGACCATAAAAAATATGACTTACAGTCCACAAGTTCAACCACCCCGAGGCCGACCAATGATGAGTTTGCAATAGACGGGAAATAGAGAAAACAAATTTATACTTTGTTATATACAGTTTTAAAACTGTGAAGTCTGAAATTGTGATGTGATCGTGAAAATGTGAATGTCATTGTGTTTGATCTTGAGTTGTGATACTTGTGATATTTATGTTCTAATATATATGTCTTTCAATGACTTATGTCGTGTGAATAGAAATTGTTAATGATCTGGTAAACTAATATATTTTTGTGGGAAAATCTGGTAACTAATATTTAGAAAGTTCCTTCTTCGAACCTGTTCAAATATTAAAGTACTGGGCGTGCTTGATATATTATTGTAGACCATTTTGAAACCGTATGTAGCGATAGGATTATTAGTGATAGTTGGGTAGCGGCTTTAAGAGACCATCTCCAAAGTCGTGTCATGTGCTAGTGCAACATGTCTCGTCTCATTCAATTCAACGGGACACAGACATAACTCATAAGCGTAGGACTACAGTTGTACTCATCATAAGTTAGGCGTGTTTGGTTGATTGTCAAAGTCAGCTACATCAATTGATTGCCTACTAATTCAGGTTGCTTACCTTTGTTTTTTTAATAAAGAGAAAAATTTTATAATCACCGGACTGATTTCTATGTTTGCGTCAGCCGCTCGCTATATCTTTCGATTAGCAGTCGCGCGTTCCGTGATGGAGAGTGCTGCCCACTAGCAAAGTTGAGTACAATTGGCCTTTTACTTCAACACCGCGGAGCACTTTTGCTCCCATGTAGTGACGCTGATGCTTCCACGCTTGTCGCTGTTGTTTTAGCCTCGCGTCGGTGCCTACAGCCGCCTGTGCCTTGCCGTTGCTGCTCACCGGCCAGCATCGGGAAATCTTGTTTAGTCTCTCATATGCTGCTTTGCTTGGTTGTTATTTTGCCACGTTGGGAGCCCATGTGCGCTTTGCTGCGAAACATGGGCAACATATTGTGATGGTGCCTGCTGCAATAGTTTGCTTTATGCTGCGTTTTTTTCAGTGCCGAGTGATGGCTATGCTGCAATATCTTTTCCGATGTTTCCTTTGCAACGACATAGGGTTTAGTTTTGTATAGGAAAATGATTAGATTCACCTGGTTCATACCCATGCAATGTTGCTACTGTAAACCAGAAGTGCGACGTTGCAACCGACACATCGGATGCTACAAGCGTCGCGTCCCATTGTCGCAAAAGCCGGACCCTAAATGTTTCTTTTAAACCTTTTTATCCTTTTTTATATATATATATTCTGTCACTTGACTGAGACTTGTTAAGTCTCAGTCGACTAAGATCTAGCCACACTCGTATGAAAATGTTGCGTCGTTGCGCAAGAGCCCAGGAGAATACAAAACCGAGCGGGCTGATCCAGTGAATCATATGGCTGACGAAGCAGTCTCATGAGTCAATTGGATGGCTAGCCAGCCGGCTGACCCCTCCCGCGGATCAGCCGGTTGACACATAGCGGCTGCCATATGTTAATATCAAAGATATCAATTATAACCAGCTTGGGTACCAAACATAACGTCGAGAACTAGTCGAGATATTAAGGGTGCACACAGCCAAAAGAATAAAAAAGAAAAGAAAATAGTCGAGACATTAAGGATGTATACATCTCGGTCCATGGTGTATTTGACAAAAAACAACCACAATTAGGTTTGCGTTCCACTAAACTACCACTTTCAAAAATTTGGCCGAAAGCTATCACTTTTTCGTAATTCGTCCCTAAACGAAAACGGTTGATGACCGTTTAGAGGATTTAACCATGTTTATGACAGGCGGGACCCACCCGTCTAGGGAAAGTTTGCCTGCTAAGTTGACCGTTATGACTTATGACAGGTGGAGCCCACACATCAACATCAACCTCTTCTTTCTCCCCTCTTTTTTTGGCATTTCAACAAACACCTTCTGTGCACGACGAATGGGAGCCTCAGGGTCGGTCGTCCTGAAAGGGCAGCGCCGGCGTGTACTGGAGACTGAGTAAATTGCACAAAACCACTACTTTGAAGACTAGGTTTGCAGAAAACACTACGCTACACTTTTGTTGAAAAAAGCACCACGTCTTTTGTAATCGTTTTGCAAAAACCACTGATCGGCAGTTTTGTCTCGGTTAAGCGTGTTTATGACAGATGGGCCTACAAGTCAGGCGGACGTGGCACTGCTTACCACCTCGCATGTAACGGTGACGGATGGTAACGGTGTGATCATGTGTGGAGCCATGTGGGGTCCACCTGTCATTGAAAGAAAAAAGAAAAAAACGCCTTGCTTTTTTTCGCTTGCCTTATCTTCATACCGGACCGGACTCGGGCAGAGGCCCGCCGCCCGTCCCGCCCTCGATTGGGGCAGAGGCCGCCGTAGCTGTTGCCGCGCGGAGCCCGTCCCGCCCCCGGCCGAGGCAGGGGCCGCCACCGCCGTTTCAGTACAGGAAGATAAGGAAGAAAAAATAAAAGGCTTTTCTTTTTTTTCTTTCAATGACAGGTGGACCCTACATGGCTCCACACATGATCACACCATTAACATCCATTGCCGTTACCTGCGAGGTGTTAAGAGATGCCACGTCAGCCTGACTGGCAGGCCCGCCAGTCATAAACACGCTTAACCGAGACAAAACGATCGATCAGTGATTTTTGCAAAACGATTACAGAAGACGTGGTGCATTTTGCAACAAAAATGTATTGTGGTGTTTTCTGCAAACATAGCCTTTAAAATAGCGGTTTTGTGCAATTTACTCGAGCTCACCGGTCTCGGGCGGAGCTTGCCGCGCGCCATGGTGTTTCTCAGGAGCCCAAGGACGAGAAGATGATTGCGGCCACTGCTTTGCTTCTGCTCCTGCTCACATGATGGCGGCCGGTCCACAACTGCAGTGCTGTGGCTCCTAGCTAGTGGAAAAATTGAGCCGGCGAGAAACCGAGAGGCGAGAGGTACAGCTCAACATGTGGCCACACGCAGCGTTGCGTGGCGTCTATAAACTGCTCCGTTCTTCTTCCGTCGTTCATCATCTCCATCCACACTACAAATCTGAGAAGGCACCGCAGTCGAGAGCAGAGCATACACCATTCTCCGGCAGAGCTGAGCAGGCACCACACCTCTCGTCGTCCGCGGGATGGACGGTGCGGCAGCCACCTGGACGCCCCGGAAGCAGGTGGTGCTGTACCCTTCGCCCGGCATGGGCCACCTGGTGTCCATGATCGAGCTCGGCAAGGTCCTCGCGGCTCGCGGCCTCGCCATCACCATCGTCATCGTGAGCCTGCCGTTCGTGGACACCGGCGCGAGGGGGCCTTTCCTGGCCGGCGTCACCGCGGCCAACCCCTCCATCTCCTTCCACTGCCTCCCGCAGGTCGACGTCCCGCCGCTCGACTCCGACCACCCCGAGGCGGTCACCTACGAGGTCGCCGGCCTCTCCATCCCGCACCTCCGCGGCTTCCTCGCCGGCGCCTCCCCGGCCGTCCTCATCGTCGACTTCTTCTGCAGCATCGCGCTCGACGTCGCCGCCGAGCTTGGCGTCCCCGGATACTGTTTCTTCACGTCTCCCGCGGAGGTCTTGGCTTTTTCCCTGTATTTGCCGGTCCTGCATGCTCGGAGCGCGGCCAGCTTTGGGGAGATGGGGGAGGAGCTCGTGCACGTGCCGGGGATCCCCGCGTTGCCGGCGACCCACTTCCCCAAGCCGCTCATGGACCGTGACGACGTGGCGTACAGATGGTCCCTCAGAGTGTCCCCCGACCTCTGCCGCTCCCAGGGAATCATTGTCAACACCTTCCGCTCGCTCGAGCCACGCGCGGTGGACGCCATCGCTGCCGGGCTCTGCACGCCTCCCGGCCTCCCGACGCCGCCGGTCTACTGCATCGGGCCGCTGATAAAGTCGGAGGAGGTGGGCGTGAAGCGCGGCCACGAGTGCCTGGCATGGCTGGACACGCAGCCGACGGCCAGCGTGGTGTTCCTCTGCTTCGGCAGCCTCGGCGTGTTCAACGCAGAGCAGATCAGGCAGGTGGCCATCGGCCTGGAGGCCAGCGGCAAGAGGTTCCTGTGGGTCGTGCGGAGCCCGCCGAGCGACGACCCGACAAAGAAGTTCGAGGAGCCGCCGGAGCCGGACCTCGATGCTCTCCTCCCGGAGGGCTTCCTGGACCGGACCAAGGGCACGGGTCTCGTCGTCAAGTCATGGGCGCCGCAGCGGGACGTGCTGGCGCATGGCGCGGTGGGCGGTTTCGTGACGCACTGCGGGTGGAACTCCGTGCTCGAGGTGATCATGGCCGGCGTGCCCATGCTGGCCTGGCCGCTGTACGCGGAGCAGCGGATGAACAGAGTGTTCCTGGAAAAGGAGCTGGGTCTGGCTGTGGCGGTGGATGAATATGACAAGGAGGTGGTGGACGCCGACGAAGTGGCGGCAAAGGTGAGGTGGCTGATGGACTCCGACGGCGGCAGGGTGCTCCGGGAGTGGACGCAGGCGGCTATGCGACGGGCCAAGCAGGCGCTGGGCGAGGGTGGGGAGTCGAATTTGACGTTGACGCGACTGGTCCAGGGCTGGATGCTTGACGTGGGCAATGACGTGAGTTCGGCTGAGAAAAGATAGTGCAACTCATGGTCACGGGAGAAAAGCAATTCTCCCATGCATGGCTCAACCGTTGAATTTAGATGGAGATTTGGATGCATGCACACCTCTTCTAGTTGTATTTCACCCATTAATGAACCCACACTCTCCCATGCAGCACACTACACCCATGCTTTTTCATGTGATTTCAAAGTTTGAAATCATTTTATCTTATGAACCGAAATCCCGATTTCACTTTTCGTTTGCATATTTATGTTCCTGGTGACGAGGACTTTTAAACAAGATCACTCTTCAATATATTTTTCATAATTTTTGAAACATGATAAAACCTTACGAAAGATGGTGAAATTCCATGAAACATGGTGTAAATTTCTGTGATATAGTCCGTGGAACTCATTTCATGTCAATTTGTTTCTATTAAGAACATCGTATACAGTTTTGTAATTTGATGGGCTTTATATTCTATAGTTTCACCAACTTACAAAATTCTTTTAAAAAATTCTGGAAATATATCCATGATTGATCTTGTTTAAAAGATCTTCTTTTCAAGACCCCAAATATGCAAACCAAACAGAAATCAAAATTTTCATTCAAAAGCTACATGGTTTTAAAATTTCAGACTCTTGACTTAAAATGCATTAGTAAATATGAGACGGGGAAGAATGAGGTAGGGTCATAGGGTGGAGTAACTACAAGTCATAGCCTCATAGTAGGTAGTACGGTGGGACACTAGCATGCATGGGAGATCCGGTGCATGGTTTTTTTTTTGGAACAAAGCAAGGCACCAACAGGCGCCCAATTTCATTTCAGCTCATAAGTTAAGTACATCAGTGAGTACAGCGGCGAGAAGATAGACAGCAAGGAGAAGTACAGCCAGAGGGGTAGAGCTGAAAGAGAAAGCAAAGATAGGTTGAGGAAACACCCAACCAGATGATCACCGGCTAATTTACAAAGCACAGAGCAAGATCATTCCATCAGTCATAAAAGTAGATGTAACAGCCCATCTGCAGCCATAGGAGAATGTGAAGAAGTGCTGATGCTATGAAGAGAAGCAGAATATTGGGAACTGTTCTTATTCCTTATCCAAAGTGGCAAATGCAAGAGAACAGCTCACAGATTGTTGCCTCCACTTGCTGGTATTGAACAGAATGAGAGTACACCATCAGTAAAATAGTCTGGCAGCAAACTTGTTGAACCTGCATTTCACACACTTATGACCATAGCTCATCTTGTACAGAATGCAAGCCTGCAAGAAACATTAAAAGGGAAAGAGGCCAGCGCTTTCTGCAAAAGACAAAGAGAAAATCCTGCCCGAAGGCGAATGTGAGCTAATAACAGTGAATAGTATGTAGATTTATGCCTTGAATCTGAAAGTGAGAAAGAAGAGAAATCATGGGGCAAGACTGATGGGAATGAGCATGAGCAAAGCAAGAGATTTGAGAGCTAGCATTAGATCTAAAAACCTGCTGAGCAAGATTGTGAGCAATACCATTTATCTCCCTAGAAATGTGAAACACTTGAGCATTCAAATTAGATGTGTCTTTGAAAAAATGAGCAAGATCATTCCTAATATTCCAAGGAGTGGCTGAAATATTTCTTACGGCAGCAAAAGAGGCTAAAGACAAACAATCCATAAGGAAAGTGGAGTTAGCAAGATTAAGTCTCAAAGCTAGATGTGCAGCACAGGAGAGAGCCACAGCTTCAGCCTGCAAAGGAGTAGAGGTAGGAGGGGCCAAAGCCTAAACCTGAACATTAAGCTCGCCCTGATCCGAAGGTATAGAAATAAAACACCTATACCTGTACCCACTTGCCCTTGAGCGAGACCTGGGATTTTTGTTGATCTAAACGCTGCATCAGAGAAGATTTTAGTCCCAGGAACTAACAAGTCAGACTTCAGCGTTTTGCCCTGCAAAGGAAGAACATGAGTTTCCTGAACATCATTGAAGTGAGGTTTCTTAGTAGGGGGACAAGAAGGATCAACCAGTGGCTCATAGTCCAGAGCTGCAGCAGCAATATTAACTTGATAAGGAAGATGATTTTTCCTATCAAAAAGAAAATCATTTCTAGCTTTCCAAAGGCACCACAAAAAATTTAGAACATTCTTAATGGAAGCATGAGGATGGCCCATTCGAGTAAGCGCAATGAGAATGGAATGCATAGTATGGTGCCCTTGGGTGAGAACATCCGAGCGAAGGAACCAGGGCGAAGAAAACCAAGCTGCTCTCGCAAAGTTGCAAAGGAAAAAAAGATGAAATTCATCTTCCTGCTAGCCACATCTACAACAAGTCTGAGCAATATGAATAGAAAAGCGGCCAGCCCTCATACCCGTAGGCAAAGCCCTTCGAAGAAGTCTCCAAGCAAAAGTTTGAACTCGAGGGAGCAGATTTTTTTGTTTCCAAATGAACTTAAGAAAATCTTTCAAGTCCAAAGGAATATCCAGAGGAGCATTTCTTGGAATACTGTGAAGCTCCTGCAAGCAAAGTTTGTAAGCAGATTTTGAAGAGCAAATACCATTTGGGGTAAGATCCCAACACAACAAATCTGGACCATCATCATCTAAAATTTGAGTATTAACAATGTGAGAGGCTAAAGGTTGCTGAAAAAGAGAAAATATGAGCGAATGATTCCAGCTTTTCAAACCAGGAAGCCAAAGATCTTTCACATGAGACGGGTAAACAAAACCAGCTTGTTGTGGAACAAGATGATCATAAATAGAATATCAAAGATTACACCAAGGCATGCTCCACAAAGAAATGTTACCCTGAGTGAGTTGATAAAAAGCATGATCTCTTAGTTTAGGCAACATATTCAAGATAGAGGCCCAGAAAGCAGATTTAGGTGGGGTAGTAGTGGCTCTCCAAATTGAAGTATCAGGAAAGTACTTAGCCTTTAACACAAGGTACAAATGAGAAGAAGGAGCATTGGCTAACCTCCAAGCAGCTGTGAGGATGAGACTTTCATTAATGGCTTTTAGATTCCTGATGCCCAAACCACCTTCTCCCTTAGAACTACAAATATCCTTCCATGCCCTAAGGCAGAGACTTTTCTTTGAGTCAGTCTCTCTAACACCTGTCCACCAGAAATTTCTAATAACAGCCGTGAGCTTAGCAATGAATTTCTTAGAAAATAAGATGTTTGCCATGTAATAGACTGGAATAGCTGAAAAAACTGATCAAATCAATTCAAGCCTAGCAGCATGAGAGAGCATATTAGCTTTGTAAGAGGGAAGCTTATGTAAAAATTTATCTAACACAAAGTTGTAAGCAGCCACTCTATTTTTAGCAGGAAGAATAAGTGGATGACCAAGATGAGTGAAATTAGCATCAAGATTAGAAACAGGAAATGATTGCTTAATGCTTTGAATCGTAGCTTGAGAAACATGCGAGCTAAAAAGAATTGCAGATTTGCCCCAGTTGGGAGTTTGACCAGAGAGCTCGCAAAATTGATGAATAAGATTAGCCATAGTCTGAGCTTCTCGAAGAGTAGCCTGTCCACAAACCAATAAGTCATCTGCAAATAGAAGAGAATGAACAAAGGGGCAGTTTGGACCAAGAGAAATACCCTGCAAATGGTTAGCCTGAAGAGCCTCATTAAGCGATATCGAAAGTTCATTAATGGCAATAACGAACAAGTAAGGAGACATGAGACAGCCCTGCCTAATCCCTCGAAAACTTTTGAACTTATGAGAAGGTTGTCCATTGATTAGCACAGAGAACGTGGGAGAAGAGATGCATGCATGAACTAAATTAATGAAATGACCATGCAGCCCTTTACGAGCAAGCACAGAAACAATAAAGTCCCATTCTAGTCTATCAAAAGCTTTAGCAAGATCAATTTTAAGCATGAAGGCATCCTGTTTCCAAGATTTGAGGGAGAAAGAATGAGCAATTTCCTGGGCAATGATAATATTATCACTAATTCTCCTACCCTCGATAAAAGCTTGTTGAGCAGGATTTATATAACTAGGAAGGTGAGGCTTAATCCTGTTGGCAAGAGATTTGGCAATGATCTTATAAACAACATTACAAAGACTAATAGGTCGGTAGTCCATAGGCACTTGAGGAACAAGCTTTTTAGGAATGAGAGCAATGTTGGTGTCATTAATGTGCGGAGGAAGAATTCCAGTTAAATAAAAGTTAATAACAAGCCGAGTTACCTCATCTCCAATCCAGTCCCAAGTAGCTAAATAGAACTCAACATTAAAACCATCCGGTCCTGGAGAAGCATTGAGTTTCATATCCTTAAGAATCTGTAAAATCTCATGATTGTCAGGAAGAGTATAAGTAGGATCCAAAGAGCCGCCGGGCCATTGAGTGGAAAGGTAAGGTCTACTCACAATATTATTCGGAGAAGAGAAAATGTAGCGAAAATAGTTAATAAAGGTATTCATAATAGCGGTAGGATTGAAATGAATCATATTATTCTCATCCTTAACGGAACAAATGGTATTTCTCTTCCTACGCTTGACAACAGCTTGGTGGAAAAATTTAGTGTTACGGTCACCAGCCACAGCGCACTTATTCTTACTACGTTGCTTATAGAATTGATTAAGTTTAGAAAGAGTGTGCTCATATGTAGCAGTGAGACAAGTTTCTAACTTGTGATCCTGCTGCTGGAAAGGAAGTTGCTGAAGTTGATTGATGCTAGCTTCCAGATCCAAAAGCTCATTTTGAAGAGGCTTTTTCTTCTTACACCACCTTTTTAAAGATCCTGCAAAAGAAGAAGACTTTGCTGCAAAAGAAGATGAGGAAGTAGCATTCTAGGCAGATTTAGCAAATGCATGAAAATCTTTTTCCATTAACCACCAATTTTCAAATTTGAAAGTTTGTCGAGGCTTGACAAAATTACCTTCAGTAGACACTAGAGTGGGGGCATGATCACTCAGGATAATAGGCAAATTAAGAACTTTGGTAGTAGGATAGTGCGTGCACCAATCCGAGTTAACTAAACAACGATCGAGGCGTCTATAAATAGGATTGGAAGTGTGTTGTCTACCACGCCAAGTATAGGCAGGACCACTA